GACAACACAGTCACAACTGGCACCAACCAGCGGAAGAGCTGGTGAGGCCAACAACTGCCCATAGCATAACATGGACAAACACCGCTCTTTTCCAGGTGAAAAACAAAACCATTTCTGGATATTGGCAAACTGACAATTTTATTGTTGCCATGTCATTTGGAAAACTCTCTGCATAAAATACAATACCAAAAGCAAGTATGACAAAAAAGTTCATGTGAAACTACCATTTCCTCTTTAAATAATGATAAACAGAAAACTTTCCAGCTTATGACAGTTACACAGTAAAACATCCCTGGCACAAGATGAGACATAAGAAGTGGGAAGTGGAACAGGCTTACCCATGAAAACTGACTGTGCTGACAAGAGGCAGGTGGGGGGGAAATGGTATGCAATTGTTCTAAGCTTCTGCATCCTACCCAAGGAGAAATACACGTGGACAAAAGTAAATCAGCATTTTAGTCATGACTTACAGAGTGACTTACAAACTGCAGAGCAGCAGTTACAGCAGAAGCATGAACCAGTGGTACATTGAAACCTTCCAATAGCTCGTGCAGCAACAGGAACATAAAGAAATTCTCAGATTCTACTCTAAGTTGTTTTAATAAAAGGTAAGTTTATGAACTCAACCTTATTCAAAGCCTTATTCAAAACAGTAAACTCTGGATAATTTTCAGGGTTTGACTGCTAATAGCAGGTTTCTAATTTGTTTAATCTCATGATACTGAACAATGATTTATTTAAAAGAACTGTAAAATTCCCATCTTGATTATTCCACTGCTGCCATCTTCAGCTACAGAATTCACTACCCTTGTTGCCCCAAAATCAAGATTTTTTCAACACAGAAAAAGCATAGAAAGCAGATCAATCTTTAGTAAAAAGGCAGCAGTTCAAATATGCTTCAAAATTACCTTTACCTTAAGGCAGCCAAATGCACGTGTCCTCAACTAAGTATTCAGTACAGACCCCAATAGTTGAGAAACGACTCGCCACAAATTCCTCAAGCAGCTATACGAAAATACAGCAAGCCAGCAATCTAAAACTAGATAAGGCCTTAATCTATCTACAGAAATACAATAATGATTCTAATTTTTATTAAAAATATTAATTCCACCAAGAATGGTAAATGCCTGTGGAGGAAAACCCCACATGCAAGCTGCCTCAAATGATTAAAGACGCTTGGAACACATTTGCCATTTTTGGCTGATCTTGCTTCTCTCATCACAAGATTCTAGTTTTCAAGTCATGTTACATGAACTCCTTCAAGACAGCTTCCAAGGCACAGGTCAGAGACTTATTTTCTTTTCAACATGCCAAGTACATGCCTTGAACACTGGTTGATCCGCAACAACACCTTAAGGATAAAACTGGATTCCCCATTTTAGCACTCTAACTTAGATGTCTCAGGGAGTATTAACACCATGGAGGAGGTCTAATACAATCTTTACATGGTTTCAGTCATAAAATCTGCCTCAAATTTATTAAATAAAACCAATACAAATTTGAAAGCTATCCCAATGCTGGGCACAATCATAAATTCGTAATTGAAAAAGTGTAAGAGTAGCTTTACATGCAGAAAACCACAACAAATACAATAATCCAGCAGCTTCAAAGGGTTCACATGTGCTTGGGAAGAGCTGCTGTATAAGTACAGAAGATGGTTTATAAACGCAGAAAGCAGGGCTGCATTTGGGGTCACTGGGACAGATGAAATTATGCTAGCAAGAGTTGCAATTCTAAATACATGCTTTGGAAAAGCTTTTGTTACACCCGTGTTCGTAAGTGGTTTATTCTTAACTTCAAAACCTCCAAGGGGGAGGCAGGAGAAGAACACATGCACCTAGTGCCCAAGTAATAACCTGACATTGACTTTCAGAAGCAATTCTTCCTCAAATAGGATTACAAAAGGTATACGCAGCTGGCGCACAGAGAAGTCAAAGGAAGCCACAGAGTTTAAAAAAGGCAGTTCCAATATGAACACTTCTGTAACACTGGAAGGAAAGATTTTAATTTTCATAGACACTCTATGCAAACAAGTAACTCTTCTCACTGAGACAGGGCCCATGTGCTCAGAGCATGACTAAGTTCTATACAGATACACAGAGGTCACAACTGGTTGAGAAAAACAGGTGAATTTGCAACCCCGTACGTAGGCCTTTGCATGAATACCTGAAAGTCCTACAGAGTGCTGGGAAAGCTTCACCAAAATATATCAGCACAACAGCCTCTAGCATATACCTGGGAATACACCATATACGTTTCCATTTCAATGTGATCCTACACCCAGACAGGCCTTACCAGCTGCTGCTTCATGCTGCCAGCCGGTTACTCAGCCACACTGGAACTTGGCTGTAGCAAGCTACCGTTGGTGTCTCTGCTTTAGATAAACCTGAACACTAAAGCATGAACACTGACCTCTGATATCATCAATAAGGCAGGGCAAGAGAGGAGAGAGAAGCCCCTTATCCACTGATGCTTCACCCTCCCAAAGAAAAGGGTCAGATGCTCACAGACTGGAGCACGTTAAAAGATAAGGGGCTCTCTGCCTGTACAGTCACTAAAACCATTTGGGAACACTGGACCACACTCTCCCAAGACAGAGCCTTTTTTCCACAAGAATCCATCTGGGTGCTACTTCCCAAGTCCCAGTGTCAATATTTAAATTACCCCTATCCTACATCAACTAGATGATTTTTTCACCATTTTACCCCAAAAAGCTGCAGAAACAGTCACACAGTAATAGCACACCATGACTATACCTTGTCACTGCAACATGATAATTTTCAATCTTCAGTATTGATTTGCATCTTTTACAAAACATTTGTTACCAGATGCTTCTGCTCCCTGTTTTAATAAAGTGATAAACAAAACTATTTATAAAAGGGAAGAAAATGAAAAGAGCAAGTAGGATCAAAAGATGTTCTTTTCAACATCTTAACATGATTAAAAACAGACATCCAGTTAAGGATACAGATTCTTAATTGCTCTTAAAAGACTATTAGGTACAAAAGAGCTTTTCTACAGCCCAGGCTATGAAACAAAGAACAAGAGGTATGAGAATGGTATTGAGACAATAAAGATACTGAAAAAAGGTATTGCATAATAATGCTGTTTACAAAATAAAGTCTAATGGATGTCCTCCCTTCAGCTCTCTAGCTACTTGGCTTGAGCTTTTATAATCACTGCTGAGAATTTTATAAAAGCTGAAATCAAAATTAATTATTCAGAAGTATGGCAAACATATAATGCTATTTTCTACCCTGACAATTTCTAGCTATTAAATGAAATACACAATTGATTCTGCAGATAGAATATTCCTGTGGCAAACTATCCTTAGTCTCACTTTAACTAAAACATTGACGTTTATCACCCCTCCATTTATAAACAGCTATTGAGATAAAAGTAACAGTTTTAAAGACGTTAATCAGATCTGAAGTGATCTTCTTCCCATTGCAATGGTTCTCCCTGTCCACAACTTACATCGATACCTACTTTTTGCTCTAGAAAACCTTCTGTCTCCTCTGTCCCAGGTGTGAATACACAGCATTTAAGAAAAAAGTAACTTAGTTTCTAATAGTTTAGCTATCAAAATATGTACATGTGAAACACCTTGTTACAGGGAGAAAAAAAATATATAAAAAATAAACTCTGCGTATTTCTAAACCAGTTTCTTTATAATGTAATATAAACAGATAAAAGGTGTATTCTTTTCTTATGATCAATGCATTTACTCAATACTTAGACTAAGAAAACTTTTACAGTACACATGCATTCCCCATATTTTCAGTATTCCACATAATCTCTCAGTTCCCATTATCAAAGATAACTCTCCACTGAATTCTCACTTTTGCAACAATCTATATAAACTTTTAACAGTTTCCTATCAGCAAAAATCTAAGGGTTTTATTTAATTAAATACGCACTTTTTCAAAAGACTTCTTAAAACCCGGTTCTGAAAGCATTGTCTCTTAAGCTATATACATGTACAATTAATATTTCCCCCAGCACATTTTCAAGATCCTAACAATATAAAACCTGTAGACATACAACTATAACAGCAGGTCATCATCCAGCACTCTGTGCCTGTGGTTAAGTACAGCTTTTGCTTTTAGAAACAGTTCACAGGAGGCCAGATCCCTTTTAATTTTATGTTTTTATTACAATCTCCCCATACCTCCAAGTATAAACATTGAACCCTCCCCATTCCTCACCCCTCCCTGCCTCCCACCCACAGAAAGGTTGCACGGTAAGAGACCAAGGTGAAGCGTTTTAAAGCCACATCAATGCCTAACACAGAACAAGTTTGGAGAAGGGAAAGTCTAACATTAAAAAAGCTAAACAGCTTACTGATTCCAAAATATTAATAAATAAAATACGTAATAAAAAAGGTTTTTTTTTTCTCATTTTGAAGATTTTTTCACAACAAAGGAATAAATTCAATAAAATAATGTAAAAGCTGTCATTTTGGAGTAAAAATCTGTTTTAGGAAACAACAGTGTACTGTAGGTTGCAATTATTGTACTTAGACTTAAGGAAGAAGTTATAGAGCCTCAGGCTTGCTGTCCTTCTGTTGTTTCCCATGCAGTCCATAAATACGGCTTGTTATTGATACATCATATATATATGATATAAATACACATATGTATGATGCATCTCTGGGGAGGCCCTTTTTAAAAACTGAACAAAAACATTACTGTGGTGTCACAAATATTCCCTGCAATTAAAATGGAGAGATATGAAGCAAAGATTTACTTATGAAGCTTATCACAGTAGGTACCAGACTGTTCAACTGCTTAGAGTAAAATATCACGGCAGGAGAGAAAACCCATTCACTGGATTCAAAAGTTGCTTTATCTGGATAGTCAAACTAGTGAAAGCAAGAACAGAGCTACCACTATACTGAGAGATCCAAGCACCATAGTATGTCCGAAATACACAGTACTTCTAAACAAACTATGAATTCCTATAGAGAGCTGTATCACCAGTGGGGCAAGAAAACAACATTTAATTTTCTGTTCAGATTTTATTTGAAATCTAATTCAAATTGTCAAAGCTACAAAAAGGGGGAACATTGGAGTTATTTCTGCTATGTCACAACATTCTAAAACGAAATATCACTACTGCCAGCAGATCACTTACACACATTTCTGATGAAACTTCTAAACACAAAAATGTTTCTTTTGGGAAATAGTCACAATGAAGATATTTTGTACAATATAAAACAATGACAAGTCTACAGATGCCATTACTCATGAGTATACACGTGCATTCACAAAAAAAACAAAAAAAAAATCAGGAATGCTTTTTTGTTTTTTTTTTTTTAAACAGACTGTTCAGGCACAAAAACAAAACCGCATTTCCAATAAGTGACAGCATCATAAAAAATAGTAACATTGTCAGTGTTTGCTTTTCTTTGACTTCTTGTGAGATCTGTGAGGCGAACGGGATTGAGACCTGGATTTTTTCCCTGATTTTTTAGGGGATCTGGATCGTGATCTTCTTGATCTTTTGGGTGTCCTGGAGCCAGAAGGCGACCTGCCAAAAAAAGTTGTATGTCAAATGCTGATTAATAACATCAGCTTTTTCTGCAGTTGTTTGGATTCATTTATTGAACTAAACAACGTAGAAAATATTTTTCTCTAGGAAGGGGAAATAACACAGTGATTTCTTGCCTTCGAGAAAAAGGCAGTTTTTGCATGAGAAGGTTTTTATTGTATTTTGGGCTTAACTGCAGTGCTTAGAACCCACAAGAAAAATAACACCAACTCATGCCCTCCTTAAACCAACATAAGGAATACACAACCTTCCACATCTGCCTCAACCACCTTGGCTCCTGTATTAATAGCAGCCTAAATTCATATAGAAGAGAACAGAAACAAACAACTGTTTTGAATTGTTACGCTGAAATATTTCTCTGTTTTTATTTGAATTCCTAATTTATAGCACCACAATCTGATTACTGTAAATATTTACTATGATATTCTCAACAGCATGAAAAGAATATTCCTCAGTATGTCTGAGAAATCTTATATCAGTAAGACATTCTATACCTTTAAAAGAAGTGGAAGCTGAACTTTCAAGTTTTGAGCTGCAAAACCATCAATACAATAATAAAATCTCACCCCAAGTTTAACTAACTAGAAACAAATATTTGTGTCAGTCTGGAGATTAGGAAACACCTACTTCAGAAAACCCCATAAACAATATCTAATCTAGATTTTTTTTCCCCATTTAAAAAAAACAAATCACGGGAGAGGAGATTTATGTAAGCAATTCAACAGTGAAAGACTGCATGCTCAGTATAATTCTGTAAGTTCTACAGGCTATAGAAGATGATTTGACCTTTGAAAAAAGAAAATCTAATAAAGCAGTAAGGTGCTTTGGTTTAAAAGCAGTATTACTCAAAATCATCAGTAAAAAGGTGAACAAGAACATAGAAGTGAAGAGTCTTGAGCTATCAAGGCAGAAGCCTGTATATATTTCAGACACCAGCATCCAAAGATATTGACCAGCAACATGCAGCATAGTCCATTACTAGAGAAAATGATTGTGTATTCAGTGAGCTCAGTTAAAAGAAACAAAAACCTCACCCACAAAAAAACTCAAATAAAACACACCTATGTACTTAACTTTCCTGCAACCTGAAATAGAGAAGATACCAGCTTACCTTTTGGCTTTTTTACTGACATCTCTGGGAGAATCCTTATGTGATGACCGAGAACGTGAACTCTCTTTGTGGGACCGTTCTGAGCGCTCTGACCGTTCGGATTTTGGCGACGGAGATTTTGCTCGTCTACTGCCACTGCTGCGAGATGGGCTGGGTGAAGCACTGTGCCGTCTTTTCCTTTGTAAAGAAAGGTACAGTCATGTACAGACACACACAGACACAGAGAAATGAAAACAGATATTAAAAAAATAGGTTCCTTTCTGTAGATATTTTCTTTTGGCAGTATAACGTTAGATCCTTTGAAGTCATTATAAAGTAGTAGAGTTTTTATTACTTAAAATAATTTAAAAAAAAAAAAAGGAAGTTCAACATGTGCACAACATTTTCTCTGGTTGAAAAGAAAAATTAAGGCCTGTGACTCACCTACTCGTCTTTGTTTATGACAGTGTAAAAAACCATTCTGTCATAGTTTCCTGACAAGCAAGACATTTTATCCAATCTACACTTAATACCAAGGATGAGTTTGGCTATACAAGTATTAGAAAATCAGAGTGTTCAATCAACTACCCTAAACCCTAGCTGTTTTGAAGAGTTTTCACTATGAGATGAATAACATTTAAACCATCACAAATAATTTGTGGTATGACTTCAGTACAGTTTTCCGAGTAATACACTGCAGTCAGTTTACTGCTAAAGAGAGTTAAATATCCTGATTCTACCATGTTTCCTCAGGGCCTAACTGAGCCAAAAAGGGATTCTATTCCAAAGCATACATCACTGAGGGCAGGCTAAAAATAAGACTTTCTTTATTATTTTGAAGCATGTTTTAATATCCAAAGCATGTTTTTATTGTTGGGTGGGGTTTTTTTGTTTGGGTGGGTTTGCAGCTTTCTTTTAAAATAAGGTGCGAAATACATCACAATTTCAAGGCTGCCACTGTAAACAAAGATACTAACTGTGAGGTTTTTCCTCCCATCCACTTTACTCCAAGGAAAGCCATACCTCTCTTTTCTTGTTGGTGTACATTCCTCCTTTTCCTTCTTATCTTTGGACCTGGTGTCACATTTTTCCTTGTCCTTTTTGTCTCTGTCCCTTTCTCTTTCCAACTCTTTTTCTTTTTCCTAAATTATTAGAAGCATTAAAGATTTCAGGTGAAGTGTGACAAATTATTAAGAAAATTAAGCTAATCACAAACAGCATAAAAGCACTGAGCAATGAAAGAACACAGCACATAATCCAGGAAGGAACTAAGGTCATACCACACCACTCTTCAAATCTGTACTACTGCTTTGTACACAGCAGAATTATCTATTGTAACACAAACATTGACAAAAACATGCAAGATGTTGCCCCCCGTGAGAAAGTCTGAGTACCTAATTGCAAATGAACAGTCTTCAATTTTATAGATTTCAGGGAAACATTACAGCTGTAATAGATTTTTCTAAACTAAACACAAAAGGGTACCAAGAACCTCTTTTCTACTTAAAACACATGCATTTATCTTCATTAATCCAGACTGAAAACTGAGATAATCTCATAACTACAAGACATCTGAAGACAAAACAAAAATACAAACAAGATTCTGCAATTACATCTACTCTGTCAAAAAAAACCCACAAATATGGTCCATTTCTACATATCAACAGGACCATTTTGAAAGAAAATATATACCCTGAGCAAACCCTGTTTGTCTGCCAAACAGAAAAGTAACTACATGAAAATAGACCTAAACCATCAGCAAGTCTGAACACAGAGATCAAGAGATGTACTTCTTTCAGTACTGGCATAAGAAAAAAAAAGTCCTTTTGTGGCAAAAAAATGAACAGATACTCCCCCTGCCTGCCACATAAAGATGACAAAGAAGGGGGTGGGGGAAAGGACTAAGGGGAGATTATTAACACAAGTGCAGGAAATACCAGGACAGTTAGACTAATCTAGCCTCGCATTTTGTCTACTACATGGGAGACTTAGTAGCAAAATTTTAAAGTGCCCCTTATCATTATACCTGCTATTGCAAACTACTGTTAGATTCCATTAAAATCAATGGGCTATAAAGATATTCCTAGTTTATTTGTTAACAATTATTTCATCTTGATAAAAAGGAATAAACTATCTCAAATAGCTTTAAGTTCCTATTCTCTTAGCAATATACAACACTACTAGGAAATCTGCTCTTGGAATTAGACAAAAAATGACAACCAACTACCAAGTTTGTGGGAAATGCAATCACAACTAGTATTATGTTAGTATAAAAGCTAGCTTTATTGTGGCATTAAAGTAAAAGATAAAGTTATTCCCTTATCAACAGGGTTATTTTAAAGAACACCTGTTCTTTATCATTAAATTGATATAATTGTTAATTATCATTAAATATTTCTTAACTAAGTATTACCTTCAGCATTCTAAGTGAGATAATTATAAAAAAAATCTAAAATATTGCAAGTTGGTTGAACCAATTCTATACAAGGCATCTAACAAAGTTACCAGAATTACGATTTCTGGGGGTTTAAGCTACTGTCTCAGTAAACATTCTATGCTTACTGTACAAATCACTTCTTTCTCCAATTACAGAAAACACCAAGGAAGTGGAAAGTTTTAGGATATAACTAGATACAAAAGGAAAGTTACTTCTAAAATTAAAGTCTTAACCACTAACATCAACCTCCAAATGAGTAAATGTCCTTCGGGGATCAGCTTTCTTAATTTTTACAAGTCTCTTTCTTCAAGGTACTTGGCAAAGTTACTTTAGTAAATTAATCAGATATTGAGTACCAAATAAGAACAAGTGATAGACAAACATCTGGTGAAAACTGCCTATTTGTATTTAGCTTCCAGGAAACTGCATGGGTACCTAATTTCATCATTGATCTGTCAGGCTGTGAAACTAGATTAGAGAAGCATCTGCCACTTACTCTCTCTCCCCAAACTCATTGTCCAAAGATGTTCTGTGTTCTTTTGTAATGTTGTAAAGATTCAGATCACATGGCATGTATGATGCTCATTTTTAAAGCCATTCTGATTTCATGCAGAGAGGACGACTAAAAGTGGTAATGGTACAGAATTATTCACTTTTAGGTGACAATATAAACTGGAATTGTCCAGGAAATCTTAGACACTGGAGAATCAGAAGCACATATGCTGCCTAACACTATTCTTTCTCTTCCTTTGGAAGCCTTTAACAAAATGGATCAATTACTGAAAGCAAAATGTAAGTCTGAGGAACAGCTTCAATTGACAGCTCTCCCTTTCCTTTCCCCACTTAAGAGTTTGCTTTATGTAGTAGATCCAGAAGTGACCTCTATGGTTTCAAGACATTCTAATGATACCCATCTGTACAGTGTGAAATATATTATGAGATTATATAGGAGAGATTACGTCTACTCTGCAGAAAGCACTTGGGACTCAGACATGCAGTTTGACATTACAGTAGAATTTTAGCAAAAACCATGTGTTGTTATACTAACACCCCCTTACATTCAATAAACTCAATAAAATCCTATCACAGAATCAGAGCCAAACATAAAGAACATTTCTTACCCTCTGGAGCAGCTTGTCTCTATAGTGTTCAACCTGTTCCTGAAAACTCTGGCCTGGTTTCTTGGGTCTTTTCCCAGACTCTAACTCATCCTGAAACTTCATCACCTTAAGCTGTGAAAATAATACTGACCATTAGGTTATTGGGCTTATTGTTATCCAGTTAGGCAGGTGGCTGAAAATGAAATTTCCATGATTTGTGTTCTTCATTCTTCCTATACAAGTTTGTGCACAAAAAGATACTAAGTTTATTTAAACTGGATCAAAGCAACAAAACCACATACACGTCTGCAGGCACCTGCAGTTGTTTACAGACATGTTAAAAACTAAAAATAAAGGGATCTTCTTCTGTTATTCTATTAAATTCTGTTCCTATTATTAGAACACTGCACCCTTATATTTCTTAGATCATCTGGTTTTTTCCTTTCAAAATTAAATCATTTACTGACAGTGTCTCAAGGTATCATTTCAACTTTTCTTGTCTACTCCAAGTTTTCCTTTGGAAACTGCTTTTTTTCATTTAACTCTAAATGTTAAAATCAAAAGACTGATATTAATTAGGGCATCAAAACAAATGCATCTCCTCTTTAGGGCTGTCTGCACCGAGTGCTTGGTTTGAAAAAAGTTGGTTTTTACTAACATAATACTCTATTGTGTGCTAGCAAACTTAGCAACAAAATCCAGTTCAAGAATGCTGCTAAACGTAACAGTAAATTTACTGCAATAATATTCCCAACCGAGTCAGAAAGTTAAGCAAATGTCAGAATTTTTCCATGTGGATTTTTTTTTTCCCTAAACATACTAAACTCTTTCTCCAGGTTGACTCACATCACAAAACTTCTCTCACATGTCTTAGCACTCATTTGCCAATTCTTTATTCTTACTGACAATACTTCAATTTTTCTTTTTTTTTTTGTGATCAGAAGATTTTTTTGAGGGGAGGGGTAGGGAGCAGCTTGGTAATAAGTCATGTTGTATGTGTCAACCATCTTCCAAATATTTATGCTCTGATCCTCTGTATTTCCAGTCTCAATACCAACTGCACAGTCATATATGTAAGAGCAGATTTTTCCAGTGCTTGAGGTTTCGTTTCATTTTTAGCGAAAACATAAAATATTTTTGTCTTTAGAAATATTTAACTCTTCCACATTGAAAACACGCAGAAGAAAAGACTGTCAACTGTGTCCATTTTGATTATCTGAAAGGATTCTTATTCTCCAGGTCCTCAATTCCATAATATGAAGGGGGCACTAAATCAAGTCCTAAAAATTTCTTTCTTCCCTTTCAAAAGCAGCAGGCCATACAAGATATGAAGATACCACATACTCTAATCTTTCCAATTACTAACAAAGAAGGGAGGAAAGCTGCAACAAAAACAAATCAATCACGAGAATAAATATGTTAAGAAACATAAAACCCAGGCAAAAATAGCACTACTTTGAACAGGATCCTCTTCCCCTTCAGTTATAGAGCTTCTGCCAACAACACATTTCTCATTTTTGTCTCAAAACACTATGGAGTAACTTGGTTTTGGGGGGAAGGGGATAGGCTCCAAGCAGGCGCTGCTATCTTGTACTCCACTAAATTTCTGACAAACATTCTGCTTACCTCTCTCATTTACAGAGTATGTGCTACCTAAGGGTGAGCAGTTCTCATTTTTGCTTACAATTCCTTCAGTTAAAGTCAGCAGCCAATAGAAAGCTGACACCGTCATTTGTCATTTCTCTTCTCTGCTCCTTGAAATGCAGAAATACCCCTCAGAACTATACATTCAGCGTCATCCTGTACCACCTGTTCTGCTACAAAATGAAGTTTGCTTTCTCTACCATGATGAGGAAGAAAAAATAGGAAAAGCCTCTATAATAACCACTGACACAACACCTCACCAAACTCCAACTATCTTAACATCGTATGGTTTCCCAAGACAATAGTGGTCTTTTACAGACCAGTCACCAATGGATCTCTGTCCCACATAGTTCCTGTATCTCCATTTGAATCCATGTAAACAGACTCCTCTTAGCAAGATGCTGTGAGTAAAGGAAATCAGCTCTAACACAACCCCTGGAAAAAGTGTTACAAAATGCTGAGATGGAATCAGCAGCTCACTACAGAAATACCATTCTCTTCCACACTTCCGAACTGCTCCAAGCCAAGAGTTCCTCCTCACCCCTGCTGTCATTACACTGCTTGGCTGAGCCAAGATCAACAAGATCAACAGATCAACATTAGCCAGATCAACTCACTAATCCAGTAGAAGCCCACACCCCACCTTCAATTACACACACGCCCCACCTTAGTGAGATCTACTGGCTCAGGGTAAGAGCTCACAAGTGGGATCAGGATAGTCCCTTTCAGCAAAAGCAAGTAATTTGTTTTTGCTATTTGCTCTGAAACATCACCATGATAACTGTGTTTTAAAAGAAAAAGAAGTACTTGGGTCCCAAACTCCAGAAAAGAATTCTCTAAATAATTCTACTGCTCAGAATTACTATATAAAACTTGCTTATTTCCCTTCAGCATTTCATTATTCATAGCACAGAACCACAGCATAGTTAGGGTTGGAAAGGACCTTAAGATTATCTAGAGTTCCAACCCCCATGCCATAGGGACACCACGCACTAAACCATGTCACCCAAGACGCCGTCCAACCTGACCCTGAACACTGCCAGGGATGGAACACTCACAAAAGCGTATTAGTCATAAAGAATACTCTTCTTAGTGATCTTTTAATGTAGTGTATGATGCTTATATTCCTATCATACAGTTCCAGATACAACCCCAGGAGAAAGAGATCTCTAAAACTTAGGCTTAAATATGCTTAAGCATTTAATTGATGAAGCATTGATTTTGTAAGTGTTCCAACTTTGTAAACCTGCATTTAAAAAGAATATGTATACTCTCACTGAACTGGTTGTTCTTTAACTATTTCTATCCAACAAAAGCCATTAAGATTGTTCATCCTTAGAAGAAGATACATTGACTTTAACTAGAGTCAGTAATATGCATGGTAATATGGAAGAGGAAATTTTTCAAAATCCTGTGCAAAATCTTTGTAATACTAATTTCTCAGGTACAGCAGCCACCCACAGCAGAAAGAGTTCAGAGATTTTCAGAGACTGCAGCGCAGAAGTGACAAACATCACTGAAGTTTCTGGGAACAATCTCTACTAAGTGCTCAGGTGCAGGGATCGTATTTCTCAGTAACGAGCTCCACAACACACATTTTGTCTTCTGGTTCTCACCTTGAAACTTCTCCCTCTCTCCTCAAGCTCATTTGTGAGAGTTTGAAAGATTCAGCCTTTCCTAGAATTTGAGGCCTGGATTACAGACTAACCAGTTCGCTAGCAAGTTACAGAAAAGGTTAACATCTTGGTACCACGGTTCAGGGAAACCACAGACTGATGCAAATCCAAGCCCTGCCTGTAACTTTTTGCATTCTGACACATGCAGGTGTCCTGGGGGTAGCCCCCCTTGCTTAAAATAAATCTGTTTTCAAAAACTGTTCTTAGATTTCTCATCTGCTGATACTGGTCCATACACAGCTGTCTCGGGGGTGGGGGAAACACTTTTTCTTAAGAGATTATTCCATAGTTATACAGGCTCATAACTTCAGTGGCTGATTTCACACACAACTTATTTGAGGTAAATTAGCTGCATATTACATACAAGGCTTAACTAGGAAGTCTGATTAGAAAAAAAAAAAAGGAATTTTTGCTTGATACCTAACTGCACCTAAATCTAGACTGATTACAGATAGGAGGGACATCCAAGACTATCAAAACATTTTGTTTTTCCTTAAAACCAACTCACCCCAACAAGGCCTGCAACAAGTGCTAGACTTTGCCAGAAGCAAAGTATTTCTTTGAAAACTTGAGTTTTCCAGCAGGTCTATAAACAGTGGAATTTCTGCAGTTACAATATTATCAACAACAGATGACAGTGGTACTGATGTACACATGTGAAATACCTCTTTAGCTGTAACAGACATCTGACATTGTCAGTCGCATTCACAGGATGCTATGTGTCTTGGAGCTAACCCATTCCTTGCTTTTAAATTTGTGTAAAACAGAAGTAGATTCAAAGATCTGAAACAGACCAGAATCTGTTGAATTAAGATACTCATTATCTTCTAAGGAAGAACTGCTATAAATAGTGCAACTATTGGTCAAGCAAGAGCTTATTTATCTCATCTCTATTATTAAGTTCCATTAAGATAATTATTTGGATATCTTTTGGCCATTCTGCAGTGGCCTCAAATGAGTTAGGTACAAAATCCTCCATAGACTGTAAAATCCTCCATAGACTGTAAAGATCAGAAAGTTACATTGTTCTAGTGATGATTGCAAGCTTCAAATACCTCTAGGACTTCATAAACAAACACACAAAAGGGGCTTTGAGCAACCTGGTCTAGTGGAAGGTGTCCCTCCCCATGGTAGCAGGTTGGAACCGGGTGATATTTAAGGTCCCTTCCAACCCAAACCATTCTATGATTTTATGACTATTCTGAATACTAATGGAAACTGTGTAGAACTTTGGGTTCTTGACAAAGGAATACAGGGCCTTGAAATCCACAACAGGCCTTGAATACAATCTGCTCTTCTGGACTACACTTAATCTATTCTTATCTTGTGCTTTAGTCATTCTCTATTGGAGACTGAATACTACAAAGAACTTTGTTCTGTCTTGTCTGGTATAGCAATCTGTACCAAGAAAGCAAGAAGAGTAACTTCCTTTCCTTGGTGACATACAGGGAAAATCTCTTTGGCTCTTGGTAGAAAAATCAATTGCACCTCAAATACCATGAAACATTGGGAGCGGGGAGGGGGGCAGCAGCAGGGAAAGGGAAGGGACACAGCTGTGGGGAATCTCTGTTTATGCACTGGGCAGGGGGATACTGACAGAGCACAGACACAAGACAGTATAGCAGAAACGCTGAACAGGAAGACTGCGGACGATGAGTCTCCTACCTCTGATTAAACAATGAAATACTATTTTGAGGTCTCAAGTGGCTAACACAAAGGTAAGTAAAGACAGTTACTAAAGAGGACAAACCTCCTCCACTCTGTGCTTTTTGGGTAGGATTATGAAAGCTTGCACAGCAACATGGAGACAGAAGTAAGGTACCTTAGAGAAAGGTCCAAGGAGGACAATGCTGCTTCATTTTGCCTGTGATTTTTTTGTATGCTCTAAGAAAAAAAGCTTAATGAACAAGTTAAGCAGTGTAAATTCATTTTTCTAACACTTCATAGCACTAAGGACTCTTTACAAAGAGGAATATACCTTTATGTCCTTGGTGCAGGGAAAAGAGAGACAGACACATGCATAGCACCGTAAAGACCATTCTGCAATTTAACTTATAATGTGATAAAAAGCAAAGCATCAATCTTCCCACACTAAAAAAAAAAAAACCAAACAAACAAAAAATAAAACCAACAAACCACACCAAACAGGAAACAAGTCACTGTTCATCTATGTTACTAAGAAAAGCCTTTGTTTTTGCTAAGGTCTGGAAAGAGTTAATGCTCCAGGTTCATAGGGGCATGGGGAAGGCAAACAAAGGGTTAACAACTTGCCTTCTCTGATGGCACCAGCCTAATGGCTGTGCCCAAAGTTTGGTTCTTACTGCACTTTCCCCTCCCAGCTGACTAAGTGAATTTACTAACTGTGCCACCAGAAAAAATTCTTGTTTGTACTCATGAATTAAAAAAAAAAAAAAAAAAAGCATTAAAAATTATGTCTCAGCTTCCCCATGAGCCACTGTGTAAACTGCCAGAGAATCAGACTTTGCCCTTTTTTTGCCAAAGGCTTTACATGACATTTTTAGCAGTGCACATTAGATGGCATAATTGTTAAAGTTGGTAATTGGGTTTGGTTTTTTGCTCCCCTCAAATTTAATAATGGATGTGTTCTTTGGCAGGGACTGGGTACATACTAAGAAGAAACTTTGAGTGTGAATGCTTTTTGAGTACTTTCCTGTCAATGACAAACTTGAGGAGAAATTTTAAACTTTAAGTACTTCCACTAGTGTGTGAAATGTTCTAGAAATGGGAAAAAAAAAATTACAATACTTTTCTGGATATTCCAGAAGTCTCAAACTGAGGCGGCAATTCACTTACCACAAAGAATAAAGATGGCAATACGTACTTGAAAACATCAAATATTTACCATCTGAAACTGTTACAGACAATTATAGTGATGAATGAGCTTGCAACACTTGGCGCAGTGTAAAACTGACAATGGCTAAAGGAAATCACTTCCTTATCTGCCTCCACAACTTCTGTAAAACAGATATCAAGTCTGAAAGGAGCCCTTTCCATAACCACTACAATCATTATCACAGCAAAATGAAAACTAGGCTCACTTGTACTTTCATTAGTCTAACAACATACATTTCCTACAAAACTACTGCCACCATGAGTCAAAACATAAACACCATTTAGCTTTTCTCAAATTCAGAATCCACTCACTTCAAATGGCTATGCGTCATGAACTTTCAAACTGCTATGTAAAGCAAGAGGTTTCTAAGTGCTTAGTTACAGTCCATTAATTTTAATAATCTGAATTACTAAACAGAGGCATATTTGGGAGAAACAACAGTTGTGACATTTTAAAATATTATTGCTTGTACATCTTAAAAGATTACCATGGGGCTTTGCTAATGTCTGATTTTAGCTAATTAATACATTATAGCATAAATAGGTAGGCAGCCACAATTCCACATTCAAAATATTACCCAAATTATAATCTGTCACTTGGAGATGCTACAACTGCAACAAGTAGTTTAGCAGCTTCTTAGTATCATTTTAATGCACTGAACAAAAGGTACAGGAATTTCAGTGTACAGAGTATCATGGACTTTAATACTGAATACAAGCTGGAAAGCCGTATGCAATTTTAAACCTTTTAATTTTAATTGCATTGAATTTAATTTTAAATTACATGGCACTGTGTGACAGAAAGGCTTCACTGTTAGATAAAGCTCATGCTAAATTCAAGTTCTAGTTACCTTCTCAGCCAACCACAAGCTCAGAAGCCAGCACAAATACACAAGAATCTGCGCTTATCAATTTTAACAGCTATACTAAGCCTATGCTTGGAGAAAAGATAAAAGAATGAGTGATTCCTATAAACTGCATGTAGGTCTTTGATTAAAATACCCCATTTGCAGGACCACCTGGTTTAGTTGCATCTACTCCTTTGATGGCTGCAACAGTAAAAAGAGCAACTTCTAAATGCCATAAAATGCAGACACTTCAAGGCAAGAGACAGAACAAAAAAGGCATAGGACTAAGGCCACATCCAAAAGTCACTCCCATTTGCCAAGAGGAGGAAAGTATACAGCAACCCATGCAATCACAGGCTAGCAGTGGCACTGAAAAAGGACACTGAAGAAGAGTAACTCTCAACATGCAATATACTCTGACTCAACTGTTCATTTTTCCTGCATTATTTTAAAAGCCAAACAAGGCAAGGCTGGTAAACCAAATATCTTTGTGAAAATATACTGGACTACAAAAAAACACTATATAAAAAATAGGATTATAATGATTTCAGTAAAAATAACTCCCTATTATATGCAGAGAACTGGGGAGGAGTAAGAACTGGAAAGGTACAGAAGGATGGCATAAAACAGCACATGCTGACCTCTATTTCTCGGAGTTTGGCACGCTTTTCTTCACTCATTTCTGAATATTTAACTGATGACTTGGATTCAGGCATTTCTTCTTTAATAGGATTGGAATACATGTGTTGCTCTTCTGACTTCGAACTCTGTGTGTCTTCTTCATCTTCACTTTCTTCTTCTTGGCTTTACAGAAAACATAGAATTAACTGATATAGATACATATAGGAATGATCTGTTACAAAATTTACCATCTCTCCTAGTTAGTATCTAGGACTAGTTATTAGGTTTGAAGTCTGTTAAGTAAGATTATGTTGTGTAAAAGTCTGCAGCTATAAAAGTCTCCATGAGGCAGGTATCTTCATATTCTCATCCAAATTGTTCGGGTTTTGGCAGACTATTCATAGAATTATCCTCAGATAATTTAAACTTTTTATACGAAGGGAATGCAGAACAATTATTGAAATTTACAGTCACCAAATCTACATCTAATTCAGCTACAAAGCAAGTCCACTACCTCAACAAAAATCCCTTTAAGCACTGTAACTGTGCTTTTCAGATACATTGTTTTATAAGGGAACAATACTTACTACACTTTGACTTTTTGGAGACAAGCCTGACATAGCAGATACTCAAAATTACATTCTCAGACTGGCCACTAGAGTGCTGCAGGACTGCATGCAATGCAGTAATATATTTAAAGCATTAACTAATAGATGCTCTCAATTGCCTAAATTAAAAGACTGCTCAGAAAGAACAGATCGCATGGAGTCTATTAGCACCCAAAGAAATATCTGTGTTGGAACATGATTCACTGTGTTTGTCTCAAAAGCAAAAGGTAGAGGTTTAGACACACTCATACATACCTGACATCAAAATTTCCAAACTGTATAATACTACTACCTTAGTTCTTACTATTCGACATTATCAAATCAGCATCAAAGATTATGGTTGACAACTCTACCAAAAGGATAATTTATTGTGTTAGAGAAAAATTAAGGGGGCTGCAAGCATGCTGCACTAAAACCCTGACTTTTCTCCATTTTCTTACTTTAAAATTTTATTTTTGTTCTGCTTTTACAATACATATATTGCATATACATGCATATATATATATATATATGCATATGATACATATAACACATATATCTCATTGGAAGTTCCGAAGACACTCAACCTTAGAGGCAAAAATTAAGTGTGTTTTCAAGAGACTGAAAGAGTATTTACTTTTGAATTTCTTCCTCCTCGGATTCTTCATGTTGGTCAAAAAGCTCCCACTTAGAAGTAGTAACAGCTAGAAGAGACCATAAGGTAATTTTAACAACAGAAACAGCTATCACAAACTCGAAAAATTAGTATTTGTAGATATAATAAAACTCATGATGTAATAAAATTGACCAGCATCTAGCATTTAATTCAGACTTTGTATTTCATAGAAATACTCAAAACTCCACATTATCACAATATTTACTATTTGAAGAGTTATTCACTTATATTGCATACCATGTTTCAGTAAATCCTTCAAAAGCAGTCAAGCATTTGTCAGTTTATAAAATCTTACCTTCCAAACAAATATGTAGAAAGACAGCCAACCACAGACACAGACTGATTTATTTACTTAAATATTTACTGTAATGAATTGTTATTTATTTCTAAAGGTTGGTAGGTTATTGAAGTAGAATAACAAAACTAGAACACACTATTTTCTTCACCAAAGTTATAAGCAAAAATAGAAGTTACAATTGAGAAATCCTACTGTATTACTACAGAAATCATATTAGTACTTTTAAACAGATCAGTTGAAAATAATCATGAAACACAGAAGTGACATTAAGCTTTCACTTTACTTCAGGAAGCATTTAATTTAACATACACTTTGAAAACTAACCTTGAGCTTCCAGTTCCGATTCATCCACTGCTTCCCACTTAGAAGGGGCAACTTTAAATATAGGCTCATTCTTTTTTGAGTCTTCAGCTGTATCCACTGTTGGAGAAAGAGACACAGAAAAATAATTTCCAATGCTCTGCAAAAGTACAAACAGAAAAATCCTAACATAACAGTTAGATTTAAATATGAAAGCATATTAAGCTGCTTTGTTATTTGCAAAGAAAAGAAATTAGGATTTGGAACCTGATATCCATAACATCAGAAGACACCCACTGTGTCTCTGAAGCAATTACAAACTAAAAGCAGATTTAAAACTAATTCTTCCTAGAAAAAATTTAAATTAATCAAAGTCAACATTTTACAAAGCTACATGCCATGTTAATTCTTGGCTGAACTTGTAAAAACTACTTGGGGAAAAATAGATCATTAAAAATTGAAGATACAAATTGTAAGCAGTGTTGAAACATTTCGTACAAGGAACTCCATCAAGATCATCATCCAGCGATTTAATTGGGACTCCATCCAGATCATCAATAGGAGCAGCATCAATAGGAATTCCATCCACATCCTCTAGTGGAGCACCATCAAGCTCTTCCTCAATGGGAGCACCATCAAGATCATCTGGTACTTCCTGAAAGCAAAGAATAATTAATTATTTCAATAATAAATCTACACCGCTTTTCTTTACTTCTGCAATCGTTTCATTTCTTCTTAAAGGAATAGTTTTGGAAATATCTAAACACAAAACCCCTCAACATCAACAATTTTTGCTTCCCAGTACAGTTGTTTATTGCAAAAGATAAATAAGACAATATCCTCCTATAAAAAAATTGTAGGCAAGAACTTGGAATTTTCCCACAATATTCTGGAAGCTTTGCAATACCTATATTCAAAAGAAGAGATATTAAGCTGAGCTTTTGCTTGAAATGAGCCAATTACAGTCAGATAAATTATACATAGTACACAGGAAAAATTCCCTGAGCACTAGTAAGCTGAACAACTGACAGAAATCAGCTATTTAGCAGGAACACAAATTTAAGGAACACACGTAAATGACATGTACACCTACTTATTCTAACTTGTTAGGTACACTGTCCTTCATAGGCACACATTCACTCTGCTCTACTATAACGGAAATAAGCCAACCTTGCAATTATACTGTAGGTCTGCCTTCAACTGTTCCAAAAGGCATGTTTCCACAGAATTAGAAAATTAACTTATCCTGAACATACAGAAATTTATGTCTTTATTTTCTTGAATAATACGTATATATAACTGTAAGAAGATCAGTACACATTCACTCAGAGCTAATGGTATCCCAAAACTTTTAAGCATAGAGCTTCAAAATATTGAATAGTAATTTATACGTATCATTATGCAGTAACTAAAGCTGATTACATATCCTATTTGAAATAACCTATTTGATATAGCAAAAAAGATATAAATACTGTAGCATAACAAAAAAGTTAGGAATTTACTGCCCTAATACAGTACAGCAAAGATCAAAGTAGAACATCACCAGTGTAAATGACCTACAACAATCTTCCTCTCAAATTAAGAAAGCTCAGATGGTTTCATCACATCTAAGTGTGACACTCACACAAAAAGAATGTGGATGATTCAGGTAGTCAGATGCCTAGCACTAGTCTTTGCTCTGAAATGGTTTCACAAAATAACACCACCATAGCACCTAATCTACAAACAACCAACGTATAAACAGATCAAACAGTATTTGCATCTGAAAATCTCTCTTACGCTTGTATTTAAGAGTAAGGATTCCTAGGGAAAAAAAGGGTTTGTTCACCTTAACAGAGACATCAAAATAATACTTGTCAGCCCTACTGCGTACTTACACATTTTCCTCAGCATCTGCTCTCATCTGCTAGCATCACTACCAAGGTCACTTACCTCTGTTTCTTTATCTTCCATGATATTTACAAGCCCCAAGAAAATATTCTGTAGTTTGATCAGAAATGGTTCTGGATAGATTGCCCAGTCTTCCCATGCTCGGAAGCATGTCATCACCCGTTGCTAGAAACAATAGGGGAAAAAAAAATGCTCATAGATTTCTATTAGGAAATTTTAAGTAATTGGAAATATACCACAGAGCACTAATACTATAGACAGCTACTCCTAAGTAGTTCCATACTAAAGTATATTGCAATGATACCATGCTGGTATGAATGAAATTATGTTCCTACTTTCACGTTTCTTGTTTTTGTCAACCTTCAGCTCAAGCTTGACACATTAAACGTAGCTACAGGTATTAAAAAAAAAAAAAACCAAAACAACAAAAAAAGCAAGAAAAATACTACTGCCTGTCGTCACTATATAACTAGTTACTATGTAACTAAAACTGATTCTCAACCTAGAGCGATTGGGAGCAAAGGAGGTAGGACAGCCAGGATAAAGGCCTTAAACAGGAAAACTAACTACATTGTAAGCTTTGTATTTAAAGTTTCTGATTTAAAAGGAACAACAAAAAAAAAAAATCAACAAAAAAAAAACCAACAAAAAAAAAAAAGGCAAAAACCAAACTGTAGAGGAATCTTTAAAACAGGAGAAAGAAAAGCGGAAAAAACAGGCTGAGCATGAGAATGGTGAGAAGCAGAGCACTTCATCTCAGAAATCACTCCCAACTACCCATGGTCAGACTGCTTAAAGAACCTCAAAAAACAAAGCCTGGCACAAAAAAAACCTTTGAAATAACTTTATGCTGTTAAATCCACCAGTTTCTTTCCACAGGTAGCACCCACATTTATTTTTGAAACCAAAATATAGGCGGTCCAAAAATAATCAGAAAGCTAGAAGGCCTTGTTTGAAACTCAAGTACTAAACAGATATCCTCTCAACTCCACAACTATACATCTACAGGTACACTTCAGTTCTTAGATGCTGATTTTCTTCCTTTATTTCAAGGCTATCTTTGCAAGAGAGAAAATTTGATTTATTTTTTTTTTCAAGCTTAGTTAGGAAGCCTGAGATCTAAGTCATCTATCATAGTATACTATCTCTTGTGCAGGAACACCTATTTATTTGACTTCTATGTCATGTAAATAACAATGAAATACATACCTTGAAATTTTCAGACTGTAAATGGCCTTGTATTGTACGGTAAGTAGCATTGAGATCAGAGAATATCTGACATAATTTTGTTTCAAAACTAGAATTAAACATATACATTTCTTTAGTTAAACTTCGTAATATATGGTTTTTGGTCATACATAATTAATGAAAATGCCTGGGACAGGACTCAAAAGCACAAAGTTCTGATCCCTATATTAGCTATGTACTGAACTATAAAGCAAATATTATTACTGTATATTAAATCGCCTTGGACAACAACAGAACTGTGAAGGGAGATCTTCACATCTGCTGCAGTCTCTTTATACCGCCTGGAAAGATTGGAGGAGTATAAAAGGAGTTTTACAACCTTATAACAATGAAAGAATTGTCTCAAAATTCAACCTGTTTTTTTTTTTTTTTTTTAAATCTTTTGTTACATTTCTATTCTAATTTACCCAATGGGGTCCTCAATGAAAGCAGAGTGAGTAGCAGCTGCCTAGCTCCCCTTGAGCTTCTCTCAATGTGCAGAAAAAACCTGGCACAGCAAAGACACGCTGCCACAATAAACATCATTTTTAATCACTAGTCTTGCAACATGCTAAATATTCCCCATCATGCTACCATAATGTTAGAGAAACTCCAGGAAGTAGACACAATTAAATATCTAAATATTACAAAGGCACTCTCCATTGGACATTGTTCTTAAATTCTTTGCAGTGCCTTAGAAACAAAAGTACATAATTCCCTCACAAGTTCTTCAAAGTTCATGAAGAATTGAAACACCACCTCTCAATTTAAAAATAAATAAATAAATAAATAAATCTATTTCAAAAATTTACTTCTTCACATGGAATTTTTGCTATACCATGCCTTGGATATTACCTACAGGCTCACTTTCTGTAAAAAGGCACATGAGTTATTCTCACCTCTGTGAAGTTCCATGCAAGTTGTTCCTTGATAGGGCACATAACACTTCTGTTTGCATTATAAAACAATCCTATGCATTAAGATGTTACACCTTACACATTTTCATGCAAAGAGATATAAGTATCAGTGTTGTAACAGTAGCCTCACAGAATAGTGTTAATTTCTCTACAGCCACATTTACCCAATGATGTACAAAACTGAATGTAAGTATATTTTTCTTTTAATCAATCACCTGAAATACTATACTTACAATTTTCTATAGTAGGAAGCATTGGCAACTTTAGCTGAAGAGTTGTATAACACATCCGACACTAGATATAATCTTGCAATCTACAATAAAAAACGTTCAAGATAACTCTAAAGTTTAAATGTTCCTGCAAATATATGCATTTTTCCAGAAAGAATACAAGAGAGTTTAAAGGTAGTTTACATTATCTGGAAGTACCAAATTAAAACTAAGTGTAGCGCAGACATATTGTTAATAAACATGCTAAGAGGCATGTACCTTTCGCTATAGGGTACTAACCACTGTAACATATTACACAGTATTACAAAGGACAGATCATGGCATTCAAGTTTTTACTTCCTTATTTGAACAAACGATTCTGTTGTTTTCAACTTCACAAAAAGGCAGAACATCACTTTCAAGCAAGTTCAGAAAGAACATAAAAATATATAACAAAATGCCACAGGAGAAAAAGTATCCTCCAATTCAAGCCCACATTTTAATACAAAACCTTAATGCTATCTGAAATGATACGCATGTGCTGTTACGTGCGCTCTTCCCCCAAAATACAAGATTTTACAAAATCTCCACACCTTCTTCGGAAGAGGAGTCTTCAGAATGGACAATGACTCTGTAATGCAGTCTACAATTTCTTCAGCAGCTTCTGCATTATTTAGACAGAATACCATTGCATCCCCAATATCGTTCTTCCGAGGTGTTAATCCACGCAGAATTTCCTCTAATTTGTCCCTCTGTCTGAAATATCAGAAATTTTAATACTTTCAATATAAAATTAACAGTACTTTGGGGAATTTCCATTTAATGATGCTTTTGATTTTTCCATCTTAAGTACAAAAACAATTTTAAATATTTTTATATTCTGTTGTCTGAATATTTTCAGTGACTGATGAACATATGCATCCATATTACATAAACAATGTGCAAAAAATTCCCACTCAAGTCTTGAAGACCCGTAGAAGTCAAGGAAAAATAAAAGAAATACCTAACACAGCACATCAGTATCTCTAATAATGCAATTATCTTTGGGGATTTAGTTTAAGCCTAAAGCAAAATGGACAAATCTAAAGCATGCAAGTAATTTCTGCTGTGGAATAAGAAACATTAGATTCAGAAAGCTAGTAAGAAGCAATTATTTCAGGTTTTTCCTAACCTCCATATATAGACAACACTCTCAAAAGAGTACCTTTTTGAGCCCTTCAAAAAGAAGATACAAGAAATAAGTTATGTATTAACACCTCCAGAAGTATGACTGGTATCATAACTACGATGAAAATAATAGAACAAGAAAAATTCCACATGCTAAGATCACAGTTGGAACAGTAACAGCAAAATTAGGAAACTCGCGTATAAATGTCCTTCCTGCTTATTAACAACTGCTCCCAATTTTAATTCTGATGAACAGCATCAATACATTTAAGATTATAATAACCATTCAGTTCATGAGAACATAGCAATGTTGAGCTGCTATACACCCCCACTAATATATATGAACAGAAAATGGGGGAAAGCTTATCCTCCCAAGCACCTTCAAATAAAGGGTTAATAAAAATTCATACAATCATAGCATAGTTAGGGCTGGAAAGGATGTTAAGATCATCTAGTTCCAACCCCACCATTGTTCAATGATGACAAATCTAACCAAATCCAGAATGTATCTGACAACAAGCATCATCAAAAAAGACTAACTGAAAAGCACAGAGACTAAGATAGTTTCTAAGTAACGCAATGACAAGCATGGTAATATTTAAGGGATGACGTATTATAACTACAAAATCACAACAGGAAAAAACCCCCAAGCAGATTAGCATTTAAAACAGCCCTATAAATTGATGGAATTCCATACTCTTCCTTAAGTGCACCCTTCTTGTTTGGTTCTTCTACAAACGCTTCTGTTTCTTGCTCTTCAGACATCCCATGCAAGTATGGATTCAATGGTGGTGGCCTCCAAAATGATCCATTCTTGAACATACGGAAATCTTCTGTCCTCCACTTTGTTGGAGCATCTCCCTAAGAGAAAACAATAGTATTTTACCTTTGGTATTCTTTATTTCATTATGCTTAAAGTTATGAATTGTCACTAAAATTCTACTTACCTGAAGAATTGAATAAAGCTTCCATCTGTAATATACATGGGCTGGAGTCTGGTTTTCAAATAAAAACCTACACCGAAGAGCAAAGAAAAGATACAAAACATATCACATTATTTAACTGAGGCAAATCCAAAGGAAGTAATTAAAAAACCCACCAAACCTTGTTCAGAATCCCACCCCAGCTGCTGAGTAAACAAGATAGATAAAATCACGTACGCCTACTGCACAGCTGTGCGGAACAGCATGAGCAGGTACAACTGCACATACACATGCAATCTGCAAAGCAGAGTGCAGAATTCAACAAAGGCAAAGCATTCCTCAGAAGTTAAAAGCAGAACAAACCGGGTTAAAAAGAGTACCCATGCAATCCCACAGTAAAGCAGAGGAATCATCAGTGGGAAGAGTCGCTATGGGAGCAACTGCAACCTCAACACAGGCAGTGCAGGAACTTGTAGTTGCACAGGTTCCTCAGAATGATTAGTAAATGACTTGAAGTTTTTCACCACTAAATTGCCTGAATTGTCAGAATACGGACAAGACTTGAAGGGTGGAGGGGGACACAGCTAGCCCATTTTTAATGGCCAGAATATTTTCTCAATTTGTATACAAAAACCACAATGAAGCACACTTTAACCTTACTTCAAGTAAACTATTTTTAAAAGGTCACTTAGTTTTTCCCTGGAAAAGCTTTTCAGTGACTACATTTCACGAGAAATTTGGAAACTAATCCTTTTTTTATTCCATTAACAATGATAGCTGGAAATTCTGACAATTTCATTATGGCACCTAGTATTTAATCCTATTTGCACCAACATCAAAATAAAAACAACTCCCAGCTATTGCTAAAGTTAGAAATCAGGCTCCAGGAAGACTGGACTTTACATTGAGATAGTATGTCTGTTTTGGGGAAGACTTTTGTCTTCTTTTTTTCCTAAATGGAATGCTACTACTTTCACTGATGACTTCCAATCCCCCACAAGAGTGGGAGTTAAATGTAATTTCATTACCAAGATGTTTTATGTACCTACAGATGTATATTATATTGTACACAGTATTTTATTTCTCCATACACATCAATAACAACTGGAATGAAGTGCATTCTTCAAAAACATAACCATTTGTGTAATTTGTAAAATTTAAATCTGCACATAAAGATTGACATAGTAAAACCAACTCTTACTAGCATTTTAGAAAGGTAAAGTATTAGCAACAGTGAAAACAGTTAATGCTATATCAAACTGAAGCAACATAATAAGCACCTGAACATGGGATTGTTGATTTCTCGGTTCATGATCATGGCTTCAAACATAGGCCCTTCCCGTACCACAAACTCTATCATTCGATGTATCAAAGCGAGCAAATTCCTACAACAACAACACAGTTAAAGAAAAATTGATTCAGACCTAACACTATATAGAACTACACTCCACCTAAGATACTACAACTGTGCAGGAGATTATTTTGCTGTATTGTTAAAAGAACTGTACAAAAGATTGGTAACATGGAACATATTATAGCCTTTCATCATAGACACGGGCATTCTAAAATATAAACATGCCTACAACTGGTTGAGTAAGAATTTAAGAGGAAACCTCTTTCCTGAATTGCCACAGCTTAGCCTACAACCATCTGCTTAATAGTCCTTATGCATAAAAATGGGCAAACACCAAAGTACAATTAACTATCCAAAAACTAAACCCTCATCTAAACTGTCTAGAACTAAGACCAAAGTGTTAGCCAAAGTTCTACAGAGCAACAAATGTCTGAATATTACGCTTAAAATTAAAGACACATAGTTTTGAATATTCAAGAGAAACGGCATTTAGCTTTCCAATATTCAAGTATGAAAAGCAAAATAGCCTCCTTGATGCCAAACAGGGCAATGATTTTATTAAACTGAAATTTCTTTTTGGTCAAGACTCAACTATTGACATAGAACAAAACTGTCCATTATTTCGTGTCATACCTTCCAATGTCTCCTCCCTGAGACACTCAAGTGAACCAAGTCACAATGAAAAAAAATAAATCAATAAAAATCTGAATTCATTTCATTCAGCTCTACATCCTGAGACAGGTAAGAAGCAGATGTGAAGTGCACATTTTTCAAGCCACATCTGAAAATGCAGAGTCACTTATAAATGGTAACAGGAGATAGTCATATAAGTTTCGTGAAGAATAGTGACCAGCAGTTTCCAACCCTTTGGGTTTTTTTGGAAACAGGATCCTGAATTTTCAAATATAGATTTCCTACATGTATCAAAAACTCCAAAGCATATGTCCCTTGAATGTGATGCAAACAAATAAAAATATACAGATTTTTACATTTTCTAATTTATTTTCTTAGATTTAACAAATGGATATTGTTTCTTCATGTTATCTCATTAGACTTCATTTTAGAGCTTTTTTTAATTATTAAAATTCAAGAACTGTTACATTAAAAAGCTGCAGAATTTTCTATTACTTCTTAGTAATGAGGTGATTATTTTCTACCACGAATATTCAAAGTTACAGATATAATGCACTAGATCAAAAAGAAAATTCAACTTAAAAATCTAGTAATAAAAAACTGCCCCTGCCATCTGCCAACTTAGATGTGCTGTTTTATACCAGCTAGCATAAATCTACGTTTGCCTCAAATATGACACAAAAAAAAAAACCAAACTGCTATCAGCTCAATTTTCCTGTATTTCCTTTTTATAATCCCAGAAACATTGTAAAGAGGACATAGTCTCAATAATTCTGTAGCCATTTTATTTAAAGCAGCATTCTGAAAGTCTAAATAGCAAGGCTGTACTTGTCATATGAACTGTATTTGAAAACATCAATAAGAAAACAGTTACCAACTACCTTTCAAGCCTCTGAGCTCCCACGCTATTCATTTATTTTAAGGCAAGTTCAGTGTGGTCATTTCTGGCTTCCTGCAGAACCATGACATTGATTTTCATCTAATTTTTCTTTCATCGAGTACCATAAAGTTGCGTAAGAGCAGCTTATGCTTGAACAAGAACATCTGCTTGGGAAACACCTCAGATGTATGAAAAAAGATTCAGTACATCCCATATCTGAAAGAGGGTGCATTTTGGTGTATGAGATATGACTACTTGAAAGTGAACTCAAAAAAAAAAAATTGATAGTGTATACTCAGGTTTTTCTGTTTAGTAAATACGAAGAAGAAAGAGATGTTAAAACCAGTATTAATGTAATCATAATTAAATATATTATCCCACTGAAGCCAGTTGAAGTTTCTGCATGATGCAATGCACTGTGTAATAGTCTTAGGAGCTGTCATTATCATCTTTGAAAGTTGTCAGGAAAAAATAATTTCAAATACAATTCAATTAACATGAGTTTTTCATATATGAACTTTCAAAATGCTACAGTAAATAAGATGGAAACTTTTTCCTCTGAAAGCTGCTTACTCTGTAAGCACTGTACAGTTTTACAAGTACTTGTTCTACTATTCAGTATTTTTCTCCAATCAAGACTCCTCCTGGTTGTCATAATTACTCATGTCTCTACCCAACAAGAATTGTATTGACTTAAAATTTAATCAAGAAATATTAGTGCGTCTGATCATCGATTGACATGTATGTTAATATACTGTAACTACCTTCATGAATCTCTTTCTCCCCCCACACACACACATGAAAAAAAAGAAAAAAGGGACTTTGTGATAATTAAAACAGTGTAGTAAAAAAAGATGATAGTTTTAAGTGCATTATTTTAAAATGTCATTTAGCTTAAAATTGGCCAACAAAAAAAAGTTTCTCAGTTATAATAAAACCACATTTATTGGAGCCGATCGTACCAATGTCTGGTCAAAAACTGTATACTTTCCCAATCCATCCCATGATGTTTTCCTGGTCCCCCGCTGCCGCAGACAGTTCAGCTGGTGTTGCTCACCAAGGCCAATGTCAAAGAGAATTTGGTAATCTTTTGTGCTTATTTACTTTTAAAACAGTGTTGTGTTCCTATGTTTGGGAAAAGGTTTTAGCTTAACTGAGCAAGAGTATACCTATTCTAGTGAGAAGGAAGGAGCACTGATGAGGACCAAACTGTGAAAATGCCCCTGAAATAGAGAACTACCTTTTTCAGCATCCAAAATTATTTATTGCTGCACATAAAAAAACCCCAGCATAAATTAAAAAGTAAAACTTAAAAACAAAAAAAATATTTAAAACACAAAACAAAACCAAAACAAACAAAACACAAAACGAAGCAATAAAAAAAAAAAAAAAAACAAAAAAAAAAAAAATATTTAAAACACAAAACAAAACCAAAACAAACAAAACACAAAACGAAGCAATAAAAAAAAAAAAAAAAACAAAAAAAAAAAAAATATTTAAAACACAAAACAAAACCAAAACAAACAAAACACAAAACGAAGCAATAAAAAAAAAAAAAAAAAACCCAACAACAAAAACCCACGAACCACAAAAGAGAAATAAGAGAGGGAGAAAAATTCCCACAGCACCACACTGGACACAGCTGCCTCCTAGCTATGAAGTACTCATATTTATGTCAGGACTTAGCATCTCTAAGACAAGCTATTTCACCCTGGTGTACAGTCACAAGATTACCCTGCAACTATTTCTAGTGCTCAAATTAAATGCAAAAAGATAATTATTTAAACCTATCTTCACAATAAAAAAAAAAAATTAGTTATAGTAAGACTGTAAACCACACACATTTCTCACAAGTGTCATGAAGCAACCATTGCTCAGTCAAGCCATTACCTTTTCCTCAACATCACCATTTTTCTTTAAAATTCCGAAGGGGAAATTTTCTATATTTAGATCAGTAATAATAAAGAAAAACATGTACCTTTCTGTTGGGATAACCACTTTGACTATGGCTTGCGACAGAGTCTGTATATGAAGTCACATCAGATAATAAACATAGAATATGTGAGTATTGTTAACAAGTAACAAGCAAAAATATACATATGCAATGAAAATACTACACATCTATCACAAGTTTTGCAGGCAATCACTGCTGTGAAGTTATAACTAAGCAATTACACAAAATGCAAATGGTTGTGTCAGTGAACCATAAAGGTTCACTAATTGCAAAGTATCAGAACATTCCTGTCAGAATGTACATTGATGCACTGAATAGGTACTATGCTGATATAATTAAGAAAGGAGTTCTTAAGTTTACAAAAAGATTCTAAAGTATTTGACTTGGATCATGTTGATATTACTTTATTCCCAAGTCTTACAAAAAACAGCCCTAACATTTAAGTGTCATTCAAAGAATCAACAAATTCTTACAAATGTAAATCAAGTTGGTTTGTGATTACAAGATACTTACCCTTTTATCAGCTAATAGTCCAGAAAAAAAGTTTGAAAACTGACTCCATAAGTAGCATAAAATACTTACTCCATGTCCAGATTAATAACCTTCTACATAAAATATATCAACTCCTCTAAAATAGTGTAAAAATAATGCTACCCAAATTAAAATGTAGTATTTTCTCTAAATAAAACAATTTAGATCCTGCAATTTGGCAGCCAACAAAAGGGGGGGACGTAGGAGAAAAAAATCCAGGGAGCCTGGAGGGGGAAAATGATAGCCAGATTTAAAGCAGCACTAAAATAAATCAAGACCCAATATACTGTTCCCTAACATAGACATGAAACAGAACTTCAGGAATTAACTAGGTTCCCTTGGGCTACAGCAGGGAGCCATTGAGCTTGTACACTAAGGGCCGCCAAAGTCAGCCTGAACAATGCAAATCTATGAAGCCACTGACATACTGTCACAGGTGTAGTATTTATCATTGAGATATGGCCCTGGGTACTGTAAGTTACCTTCTCAAAATCTTCCTTGTTTTTTGGCGGTGGTAACATTGGAGCATTAGGATTCTTCAATCTTTCTCTAGGCTGGGCATTAAAAGGCAGTCCTGATGGAGGAGGTGGGAGGGTATGCTCCATCATAGAAGGTGGGATGTATATTGGATGTGGTGGTATAGGTACAGCTTTGCCCCAGCCTAACTTCATTTCAAATGACATAATCATCTTGCCTGAAAAAATGAAAGCAAACAAAACAAAAACACCATTATGCTATAAATTGGTTCTGCATTGCTCAAGATTTCTCCATTTAAGCACAGCATTGAGGTTTGCCTACCATGGTTTAGTTTTTGCTTATGCTGCCAATTAGCATATCACATCTATCAGGCTACATCATGCAAATGAAAGCCTATTGCATGTAATGTTTTATTAATCATCCCCCAAAGCATGTTTTAAGGAGACTACAGTACAAATTACTTGATTTGTTGGGGGAAAAAGAATTTTAAAAATTTGATGTTCAGTACACGAGAATGAACACAGTAATTTTCAAATCATACTATTTCTGCACTTCACCAAAATGTTTTGCTCATAATAACAAACTTTAAATTATGCTATCAAATCCAAATGTAAGAACTCTTACATAAGGTAAACCTTACTAATGGTCCTAGGAAAGGACCATCTTGACTAAGCTGTGCAAGGGCAACCTTTTAGTTTTTATTCTTTTTGTCTAGGATGCCAATTTTTTCTTTTATTTTCAGGCTCTTCCTGAACTGTAAGAACACAGCTTTCTTCATTTCTTCATTTCTTATATGCAAAATTACATGTCTAGTGTAGTAATTACCTCTTCAGTATGAGGAATTTAGCCATTACTCAAAAGAACAGAACATATTTGTCACCAATTATTTATCATAATCTGTGCCCTAGTTAAATTTATTCACTAGAAAAAAAAAAAAATAAATATTGTCAGGAAACAACTACAACAGATTGCTTCTTAAAATAGTCTGTTTAGAGGAGAGATTATCAAACATTACCTCCTGCTCACATCTTCAAAACAGTCAGAAAGGTTACATCTTTACCCACAGCAAAAGCCACTAGTATACTCAGCCCTTGCACATGCTGTAGTTTGACAACATTCAGCTGCCAGTACAACAGTGTGAACTAAAATCACTGCCAGTGCGGCATATACTGGAGTTACAGCATGCCTACCTATTAGCCTGATAAAACAACTTGAAGACATAGTTACTCCTCAGTATTCCTACAAAAATAATTAGAATTCCAAAATGAGAAATCTGCTTACCATTCAAATTCTTTAATGCTCTTTCAGCATCTCTCCTGTTCATAAAGGCAACAAAGCCACAATTTCTTTCTCTTGCTCTTTCTTCATCAGTTCTTGGCCACATAATTTTTACACTTGCTAATGGTCCAAAGCGTCCAAACTCTTGACACAACATCTCTTCATTCATCTACATGAAAAAAGGTAAAAATTATCATCTTGGTACAGTATTTCTAAGATACGCATTCATATTATTGTCCAAATGTAGAGGTTTTAATTTGCCGAGTTTCTGGGAAAACAACACTTTATTGATGCCTCCCCAATGCAATATACTGCAAAAATAATGCTTTTTAAAACTGCATTTTAAACTGAGCACACTCAAATTTTTGAGATTTGATCCACCTCGCATGAAGATATCCATGGAAAAATAATTTTAACTAAGCATTTTTGCATCTAGTAACTGATAGTCTAAACTTTAACTTTTGCATCATATTGTGCAGAGCATTTATTCAAATGAATACTGCCTCTATGGTCACGAACTGTACCTGGTATATGGGTTTAAACATATGCAATGGTTTAAGGTAAAAAGAGGGGAAAATTGCCAATGGAAAAAAATTCATCTGGACCCAAACATGCCAACACTGCATTCCTTGACTCTGAACTTACCTGAGGATTAATATTTCCAAGATACAAATTTGTTGTGCTTGGATCTCCAACATCATGTGACCCTGGTGCATAATCATCCAGTACTACAATGATGGAGGAAAAAAAAACAGAAAAAAAAAGAAGTCATAATTTTTGCTATGCATTTAAGTGGCAACATTAGATTGAATGAGAAAAGAATCTCTATTACCACCAGATGATCTGTTTCTTCTTGAAGGAGCATCCACTGAATAAAGAGAAGAAAAATACATATATCATTTAGTCGACAAATCACGTAGCCCAAACAAACATAAAAAGTAGTATCTACTTACTTGAACGACGCTGGCCATCTGAATCTGACTGGGGTGGTTCAAAACGACTCAATCTACCTTTTGTTTTATGTCTTTCATCACGTTCCTCTTGTATTCTACAAACATTCAATGTAAATAACTTAATACTGTTTTGAGGGGTTTATTCTATAATTTTAAAGTTAACTTTAGAATTATGAGAACGCTTAATATTAAACAATGGGCTTCTTAAAGATTTCAAATTGCCACTATGTTTGAATTTCTGTTTAATCAACTGGAATATATCTACCGGAATTATTCCAGTTGCATGCTTCCTCACTCATACTGTCAGGGTGTTTTAATCTCAAACAAAATTGACTCGGTTTGAGAAGCAGTTTACAAAACCAGAAATAAGAACTGTGCTCTGAAAGTGACCCAAATTCAACATCCAACTGCCAGAGATCCACTGACCGTTCAGATGACTTTTCAAGATGCACACAACTCCTTAGCATCTATTTCTCCTTCTATTTTTCCTAAGCCTGCAGGCCACCTTGTAGGGTGATATACACCCCCACATGACTACTTCCACAACATACAGGATCTCATCTCACTTTATACCTCTGAGAACAGTACTCACAAAATAACTACTTGGCCATTTACGGATTCATAATGCAGTACCTATTGTTTTTTAATGCATAGAAGTTATTTTGGTTTCCATCTCTAACATCAGGGAAAATGTATGGCACTGAGTTACACTCAACATATGTGCTGCTCTGTCTGTTGTATTATATATTCAAAAGTGAAAGAATCTGTTTTTTGAGTATTATTCAACTTGTTTTTGAAATTATGGTAGCTGAAGTAGATCTCTAAACATTAATTCCAAGTCTTACTTCTGCATTAGCACAAAAGCTCGACCTCATACTGCAATTCCTCTGAGTATAGTTTGAAAGACACTGACAAAAGGTCTTATTCTTCCTGAGACTGATACCCATTTCAATTTTTCCATCAAGGGAAAACTCAACACCCAAAACCTGAACATCCTTATCTATTACAGTACCTACTTGTCTTTCTGTATCATCACTAACTTCAACAATGCATGAGACCATATTAACCCATGTTCTCATTTAGGGACTCACACTTGCTAATCTGTAACAGAATTGCATCTCAAGTTCCACTGGTAAGTAACATAGTGACAGCAGCTGTCCAAGAAACAAACATAGGTTTCCATTTTTTATCCTGATAGTTGGCTGGTTGATTCAATCAACAAAGCTTCTATTAACATCTGATCCAAAAATCATCTTCGGTAGCTTTGGAAAAAAGACAGTCATTTACCGGGATCTCTGAAATACTTTATGCATTTACATGTAATTTTTTTGGTTAATTGCTCCAGATATTCTTCTGCTTTGGAAGGCAGTACCAAAGGGTTTCAAATCAAACATCTCTGACATGCAGAGAAATCCATTCATTTCAATAGACAAGTATTTAAGCTGATATAACAGACTTTTCTGGTTTGTTTTTTGATCATTTTATAGACTCTGGTCAATGCTAGATTTCAAAACAGAAGTCCTTTTCAGCAATAGTGGTAGATGTTTCCTATCACCAATCAGCATAAGGGCAGAACTATCACCAAATATCATGAGCTAATTAGATGGCAACTGATTATCCAAATCACCAACACCTATAAACAGACTGCGAACTCTGTTTAATTATCACTGCCATTGTTAATTAAATTATACCACTCCACAAGCATTTGGGGGGAAAAAAACAAAAAAAGAAACAACCCAAAAAAACAATAAAAAGTTACTTTGAGAATTGGCTTAGTAAGAATGATCCTAAATATTGCCTGTAAAAACAAGGTGAAAACCTTGCATCTTCCTTATTTACAATTAATAAAAATAGTCAAACTTACTGCTTTAATTCTTCTTTAAAAAGTTCCAAATTACTCTTTTTCTTTTCCTTCTCTCCTTTCTTCAAAGGCTAAAATTAAAGATATATCAGCCAACACTTCAGCAGATAAGATGAACAAAAATAAAACCTATACATATATAACAAATTTTTAGATCATTTTCATGCATGTTTTACCCACAGCTTTCAAACCAAGAAAACTACAGGAGAGGAAAAAAAAAAAAAAAAAAAAAAAAACAAACCACCACAAAAACCAGACTTGAAAACATTAAGACTGAGCACTATCAAACACAAAGCTAGAAAATATAAAATTAAAGATAGATTAAACGAAACTTGACTACTTCTCATTGCTACAATGCAGCGTGTGATCAGTCTCTCTACAACATACAAATTTAAAATATCTGTGATTTGTCAGTTTGTTCCACTTAGGAACTTAGAAGCTGACTACACCCCTAGCAAACCATCATGCTCTAATTATGTGTGTACATATATATGTAAATTAATTTACATATATATATTCAACTATTTTATCCACAGACTAACGTTCTACATGAAAAGAATTTCTTCTCTTGCTTCCTTTCAGATATAAATACAGGTCTGAAGAAACAGTTACTCTAAATAGCACAAGATCCTCAGAAAAAAAAAACAAAAAAAAAACAAAAAAAACCTCTGGAATGACAAATATGGATATTGTAATTATTTTTTCTTTACTGTAATATGTGTACCTTTACTAACTTGTGAACTTTCATCCTCAACAACATTGCTTTCATAAAACCAAATTTAAATGAAAACGTTTCCAATAGGCAGACATACAAAATATTTATTGTGTTACACACTACAGCTTTGGAAAAACTGGACTTCCTACTCACCCCAGGCAAAGTTGTTTGTTTGTTTTTGTTTTTGGGGATGGTCTGCCAAATAAATAAAATCATTTTTACCTCATTATCTTCAATCACCATTGGACAGGGCAAGTGAGTAAACTGATTGCATTACTTGATAAGTATTTACGACAAATTTGAAAAGCAGTAATATTCTCACAGTACAAACACTTGCATACGACATAACAGAGTTCAGCATAAGAAAAGAATGCTACAATTAATTTCTGTAACTGCAGAGCTTTACATACAATAAAAATCACAACTGCCGTCCAGTATTACCCGAGTAGTCTAAATTTGAGTTTTGTTTAAAGTTGGACGGAGGCCAGGATGGGATTACTCACAATTACCACATTACATCTCATTTCCCACCCTAACAGGCAGTGACGTGTATGTTTCACTGAAGCTTAAAAATTGTAGTAAGCTCTATTAAAATACTTTTTAAAAATATCCCAAGACATTAATTACACATTACACATATACAGTAGTAATAGTAACCAGATATAACTACCACTTGACAACTTTGTTCATAATATTTCCATTACTTTTTATGATGAAATCTCAGTTGGGAAAAAAAAAAAAAAGAAAAGTATCACACCATGCTTTTGATAGAAGTCAAAATAAACAAAAACAAGGTGTTCAGCTGCAAAAATCTGCAGGTTCTACAACCTATGTGGTACAACTCAAAGAGCAACGGGACTTCTCAAACATCACCTTAAACAAAATTTCAAAAACCTCACCAAGGAAAGCTTGGATCAGTGCAAAGGCTCTTCTATTTTTTTTTCTTTCTTTTTTTTTTTTTTTT